TCTATGCGTTCCACACTTCAGGCTGTAATTGACTGCAAAGGATTTGCAACCAAGTATTAAAAAGTAAAAGTTTGATTTATGATTATTATTCTGTCCCATTACTTTTGGTCCCTTAATAAGTGGGAGGCACATATGCAAACTGTTGTAATTCCTACACCGATCACCTGATTTGGATGTAAATACCCTCAAATTAAAGCTGACAGTCTGCAGTTAAAGCATATCTTGTTCGTTTCATTTCAAATCCATTGTGGTGGTGTATAGAGCCAATAATTTTAGAATTGTGTCCATGTCCCAATATTTATGGACCTGACTGTATATATATATCTGGGTGGCTAATAATAAACTGTATTATACTATACCTGAAACCTGCGTTTCCGTGTCAGTCCACACCTTTCTGGTCATTCCTAGATTCCTGACAGCCTCTATCTTGACGTGGTTCACCAACTGGGTAGCAACCACACAAAGTACCTGCATCTTCCAGGCTTTGGCTATCATATGTTTTGCGTCAGTCATGATGGAGAAGAAGAGGCAACATTGGTTCCTGTTCAGCGCCATGGGTTTAAAGTTTAATAGGCTGGGCTATTCATGGAGTGGGCTTAATGGACTTTCAAAAGATTGAAAAAATGTCTTCCCAATAGGACTGTGCAATGGAAAAGGCCATCGTGTGTATAAATGTGCCAGGCTGCCCGCATCCCCGAAACAGGTGGATGGGTAGCCCAGGACATATTTGACTATCCTATGTGGCACTGGATACCAGAGCATATATGACATTATCAACCTCTCATAGAGTCACTTTAAGGCTGGCCATAGACGGGCTGTTTATCAGCCGAATTGTCGGACTATAAATGAAAAATTGGTCGCTGCTGTTGCCCATGCCGATGCTACCACCAATGTCTACGAAAAATGGCCATTTTTTTTGGATTTTCCAGTCCTGACCTCAACCTGATACAACACTTTTGGGATGAATTAGAGTGGAGACTGCGAGCCAGGCCTTGTTGTCGGACATCAGTACCTGACCTCATAAAAGCGTTTCTGGAAAAAATAACCAAACATTCCCATAGACACACTCCTAAACCTTGTGGACAGCCTTCCCAGAAGAGATGAAGCTGTTATAGCTGCAAAGGGTGGACCAACTCAATATTGAACCCTACATACTAAGACTGGGATTCCATTAAAGTTCATGTGTGTGTAAGGGCAGGCGTCCCAATACGTTTGTCAATATAGTGTATGTAAGCAAAATATGAACACATAGCTCACCATCATTAAATGGAATATACTGTATGCACAGTATATATTACATCTGTATATACACCAGTCAGTCATAATGTTATGACCACTGACAGGCCAAATGAATAACATTGATTATCTAGTGAACATGTTGTTCCTGAAGTTGATATGTTTAAAGCAGAAAAAATGGGCATCCCAATTTGTTGTGCACGGGGGAAGAAGATGACCTGATCAGATGAATCATATTTTCCTTTACATCATGAGGATGGCTGATGGTGTGTGCATTGCTTACCTAGGGAAGAGATGGCACCAGAATGCAGTATGGGAAGAAGGCAAGCTGGTGGAGGCAGTGTAATGCTTTGGGTAATGTTCTGCTGAGAAACCTTTGTACTGCCATTCATGTGAATGTTAACTGATATGTACCACCTACCTAAATATCGTCGGTGACCAAGTACATTCCTTCATGAAAACGTTATTCCCTGATGGCAGTGGCCTCTTTCAGCAGGATAACGCATTCTGACACACTACAAAATTAGCTCAAAAATTGTTTGAGGAACACAACGAGTTTAAAGTGTTGATTTGGCCTCCAACTTCTCCAGATCTCAATCCAATCAAGAATCTGTGGGATGTGCTGGAAAAACAAGTTTGATCCATGGATGTCCCACCTCACAACGTACAGGACTTAAACGATCTGCTACTGACAGCTTGGTGCCAAATAGCACAATATACCTTCAGAGGTCTAGTTGAGTCCATGTCTCAATGGGTCAAGGCTGTTTTGGCAGCAAAAGGAGGAAGTTGATGTGTTTAATGCAGAAACCCAGAGAAGATAACAAAAACATGAGGCTGCACTGATGGGCACTGATGTAGGCGCACTGATAAGGCTGCACTGATGGAGGTGCACTGATGGTCACTGATGAAGGTGCACTGATGGGCACTGATGAGGCTCAGCAACCATGCCTCACCTATCCATAGCCTTCAGCTGGCACCCTCCTCCCACTCATCCACAGTTGTCACCCCTGAAACTGGAGTCTTCCCAAATACACAGTTGTTACCTTTGCACCCAGCCCCTAGCAATCTACAGCTCTCACTTCTAAACCCAGTAGCCCTTCTTCCCTCCTATCCACAGCTTCCCCCACTGCATGCTCCTTTCAAAGGCTCACCTTCCATCCCCCTTATAGCAACCAACACTGCTCTATTAGCAGCCAGCATGGACACAGTACACTCACTGCTCTGCCTGTCTCACACTGCAGCATGGACGGCGGGCGGTATAGGCTCCCGGGACTGGGATGATTGAGACCAGATAGCACTGGATAGATAACGCTGGAGGGGAATGTGATGGAAGGAGACATGTAGCACTGGACAGTTAGCACTGGATTGGAATAGCAGAAGTGACTGCTGCGGGAGGAGAAGAACATAATTCGGTGTTTTTTTACTTGCAACACTGGGCCACTGGGATAGGGGAGGCTGGACAGAGCCAGAGTGTTCAGCCTCCATGGGCAGTACAGACCGTGAGTCTCAGAGTCCCAGTCTGCCCACTACAGCAAACAGGGACGGAATTACATCCCTGCTTGCTGTAGATAGAACTACAGATGGGAAGTGCTAAGACCAGTGGCTGGGGGAATAGCTGAGGGACTAGGAGGAATTGCAGCCAACAGTCTTACAAACAGGAAACCACATGGAATAAATTGGTTCTAAAGGCTCAAGGTTTTTTACTATGCATGAAGGTAAAAAAGCTTCTGCTTGCAGCGCCCCTCCCTCCTCTCCCCTCAATCCTTACCTGAGCCTGCTCTGATCCAGCAATGTTCTCGACAGATTCTGCTGTCTAGGGACTCTTCCTCATTGGCTGAGACAGCAACGGGAGCCCATTGGCTCCAACTTATGTCAATCACAACCAGCGAGCCAATGAAGAGAGTGGGGGGTGGGTCCGAGCCACGGCTCTATGGAGGCATAGAGCAGCAGCTCTGGGATGAGCATGCAGAGGTGCCCCCAGGGGGAATTGCTCGAGAAGGAGATGCCAGGAGTGTCGGTGGGTACCCAAAAAGCAGAGGATCGGGGCTGCTCAATGCAAAATCACTGCACAGAGCAGGTAAGTATAGACATGTTTCTTATTTTAGAAAAAAAAAACAAGCTTTAGTGTCACTTTAACAGTTTTGTTTAAAAATCATCAGCCGATTTCAGAGCAACTACTAAAAAGATGTATGACATATTCAGTGAAGTTAGGAAATCAGCAAAAAGAACATGTTAAAAAGTTTTTGCCCAGAGTTCTGCTTTAAGCTTTTTTTTTTTAATGAAAAGCATGACATACTTACCTCCTCCTATTCTGGGGTAACCCACTGGCACTTCTGGCTCCTCCTGCCTTCTGAGTAACCTCCCAGCAAGCCGCTTGTTCAGGGGGGTACTCTTGAGGGCTAGCTCCACAGCCCCGCTGTCTGTGTCCTTAGACACAGACAGTAGGCTTTGCGCCTCCCCCCACTCCCTTGTCATAGGATTTGATTGACAACAACAGGAGCCAATGGCAATATTAATCAGAGTGGACAGAGCCTCTGCTCCTGTGCACAACGCTGGATTGAGATCAGGCTCAGCTAAGTATAAGAGGGGACTGGGGGGGGCTTGGATCTTGGACACAGAAGGGTTTTTCTTTACCTTAAGCCTGGGTTCACATTGTGCAGTGTGGGACACCACGTTCCTGTGCAAAATACATACAAATGTCTGTGCACTGCAAATGGAGCCATGCACGTTGTATGGCTCAAATCATATCACATCAGCGCCAAAAAGTTGCAGGACCCTTTTTTAAATCCGCACCTGAATTTTTGGCAATTGCATTGTGTTTTGCAATCTGTTCCGGGGCGTCATTAATTTATCATTAAACAAGACATACCTGTGCTCCAATCCCAATAGCTAGTATATGCATTGTATCAACAGTAGCATAGACAGAGCAGAGTAGGACTGGCCATAGAATGATTACTTTGACACAGTTGGCCGTCTTAAACATGAATTGCAATATGTGTGAACTAAATATCCCTATTGTTTATTGCAAAGTTTGCTGGACAGGGTATATACCAGTGTGCCGAGGGTCCTTCAGAATTTCTAGTATTAGTTTATCATTGTCACCCGCACCAGATCGCATGAATGCGATTGCAATGTGCTATGGGAAAGGCACAGGCATCTCCTGCACCGCATTGCTGTGAACTGGATCTAATACAGAGGATTCATTAGGGTTAAAAAAAAGCCCTTAAGACTTTAGACTTACTTTAATTATTATTATTATAATTAGCATATAATAGGATTTATATAGTTTACAGTTTTTGCAGTGCTTCACATTATAAAGAGAGACAGTACAGTTACAGTACAATTCAAGAAGGTTAGGAGGACCCTGCTCCAGTGAGCTTACAATCTAATAGATTAGAGAGCAGTCGATAAAAGAATTGACTTCAGGACTGCCACCCACTGATCACTATGCTAGCTTGCCCACTGCCAAACCAGCTGTATTTCCATCAGTGTGTGATCAGGGCATGGACTGATCTGAATATACTATATTAATATTATTATACAGGATTTATATAGCACCAACAGTTTGCACAGTGCTTTACAACATGAGGGCAGACAGTACAGTTACAATGCAATGAATGTTTTATATATATATATATATATATATATATATATATATATATAAACTATATTGCCAAAAGTATTGGGACACCCCTCCAAATCCTTGGATTCAGGTGTTCCTATCACCTCCATGGCCACAGGTGTATAAAATCAAGCACCTAGGCATACAGACTGCTTCTACAAACATTTGTGAAAGAATGGGTCACTCTCAGGAGCTCAGTGAATTCAAGCGTGGTACCACGATAGGTTGCCACCTGTGCAATAAGTCCATCCATGGAATTTCCTTGCTACTAAATATTCCACGGCCAACTGTTAGTGGTATTATAACAAAGTGGAAGAAAATGCGGACAACAACACCTCAGCCACGAAATGGTAGGCCATGTAAAATGACAGAGTGGGGTCAGTTCATGCTGGAGCACACAGTACGCAGAAGTCGCCAACTGTCTGAAGAGTCAATAGCTAAAGACCTCCAAACTTCATGTGGCCTTCAGATTAGCACAACAGCAGTACGTAGAGAGCTTCATGGAATGGGTTTCCATGGCTGAGCAGCTGCATCCAAGCCTGACATCACCGCCACTGGACTCTAGAGCAATGAAGACGTGTTCTCTGGAGTGATGAATCACACTTCTCTGTCTGGACATGTCTGGATTTGGTGGTTGCCAGGAGAACAATACTTGCCTAACTGGATTGTTCCAATTGTAAAGTTTGATGGAAGGGAAATTATGGTTGTTTTTCAAGGGTTGGGCTTGGCCCCTTAGTTCCAGTGAAGGGAACTCTTAAGGCATCAGCATACCAAGACATTTTGGACAATTTCATGCTTCCAACTTTGTGGGAACAGTCTGGGGATGCCCCCTTCCTGTTCCAACATGACTGCACACCAGTGCACAAAGCAAGGTCCATAAAGACATGGATGAGTGAGTTTGGGGTGGACGAACTTGACTGGCCTGCAGAGTCAATAACTAAAGACCTCCAAACTTCCTGTGGCCTTCAGATTTGCACAACAGTGCGTAGAGAGCTTTATGGAATGGGTTTCCATGGCTGAGCAGCTGCATCCAACGTATCTGAGTTTGGCGGTTGCCAGGAGAACGGTAACTTTGTGGGAACAGTTTGGGGATGGCCTCTTTCTGTTCCAACAAGACTGTGCACCAGTGCACAAAGCAAGGCCTGATCTCAACCCTATAGAACACATTTGGAATGAATTAGAGCAGAGACTGTAAGCCAGGCCTCCTCATTCGACATCCGTGCCTGACCTTACAAATGCGCTTCTGGAAGAATGGTCAAACATTCCCATAGACACACTCCTAAACCTTGTGGACAGCCTTCCCAGAAGAGGTGAAGCTGTTATAGCTGCAAAGGGTGGGCCAACTCAATATTGAACAGACTAAGACTGGGATGCCATTAAAGTTCATGTGTGTGTAAGGGCAGGCGTCCCAATACTTTTGTCAATATAGTGTATGTAAGCAAAATATGAACACATAGCTCACCATCATTAAACGGAATATACTGTATGCACAGTATATATTACATCTGTATATACACCAGTCAGTCATAATGTTATGACCACTGACAGGCCAAATGAATAACATTGATTATCTGGTTACAATGGCATCTGAAAGTTGGTGGGAAATATTAGACAGCAAGTGAACATGTTGTCCCTGAAGTTGATATGTTTAAAGCAGAAAAAATGGGCATCACATTCATATGCATATGGGATTTTTTAAATTTAGCTGCTTCCTGACTGCCCTATAGCAGATATACTACTACAGGGTGGCACGGGTGTGCAAAATCATATATATATATATATATATATATATATATATATATATATATATACACGTTCGTGGCCATGGCTGTCAATCCTGGCTGGTGATTACTCGCCAGCGCCCCGTGATTGCCAAGCATCTCTGATGGAGAGAACTGTTTGTAAACAAAACATTTCTCCTCCCTCTCAGCTCATGCACACAGCTTTGGATGGCTGTGCACAGCACAGCCATGCAAAGCAGTGTGCTTACAGTGAAGCACACAGACACAGTACCTAGTAAAACAGCACACAGCACACAGTTAACCCTTTGGACGCCCCTCATGTTAACCCCTTCCTGCCCAGTGCCAATAGTATAGTGCCAATTCTTTAGCACTGGTCACTGTATTGGTGTCACTGGGGATGTCAGTGACACCAAGTCAGTTCCCCCCCCAGTGTCAGAATGCCCGCCGCAGTCCCACAATAAATCGCTGATCATCATCATTACTAGTAAAAATAATAATGAAAAAAAAATCCCAGTATATATACGGCCATTTGGAAAGCTATAACTTTCACATAAACCAATTAATTTACATGTATTGGGATTTGTTCTTAGCAGTCATGTAGCAGAATACATTTTTGCCTAAATTTATGACGAAATTTGATTTTTGTTTATTTTTTACTGGACGTGTTTAATAGCAAAAAGTCAAAAAATATAGTTTTTTTCTCCAAATTCGTGGGAAAAAAAAAGGACATACATTTCAATTGGGTGGAGCGTGGCATGACCGCACAATTGTCAGTTAAAGTAACGCAGCGCAGTATCGCAAAAAAAGGCCTGGTCAGGAAGGGGTGTAAATCCTCTGGAGGGCAAGTGGTTAAAGGTGGTGGGGTGGGGTTGAAGTTCCTCTCCCATATAATGTGACCTGTAAACTACATTTGATTATTTTTGCCATCCTAACGAATCCTCCGGAAATGATGAGAATAATAACATGTAAAACGAGGGACAGGTGTCCATGAAGCGGGCACGGAGCTGTCACGGTATGAGTGTCTCTGGACACGTGTGGTGAGGATGTGTGATGACACTTTGTATGGGTGGAAGGAGAAATGTTGTAATGATCCTCCAGTGACAGCTCACACACACAGCCCCGCCCCCTCCTTCGGGGCTCCTCCTCTAAGGCTCAACCTCTTCCATCTTCTGGGAGCATCATCGGCTCCGCTCATTATCCCAGCATCAGCCTGCACTGCGCATGTGCGGAGCGGACACTGCATCAAGCTGCTGGGGGCTCTTCTTGTTCTGCTGGTGCCGGTAAGTAGACGTGGAGGCTGATCGGGCCAGGAATTGCCCCGATCTGCCGTGTGTGTGTCCTCTGTGGGTAGGGATCGCATGGTCTCCATGGTGTCCTGAGCTGGATGTGGACCTCCATCTTTACCCCAGCAGGCTGCAAGTGAAAGGGGGTCGTTGTTGTGATGATGGGGGTACGATGTAGCCCCCTCTATAGACCGGACTCTTCCCCCTCCTTCAGAGGCTGCGCTGCTGAGGTCACCAGATAAGGAGGAAGAGGGAGGGCAGGCCCCCAGGAGCTCATAGGGCTAGGATCATCACAAAGCCTGCCATTGTCCAGGGAGGTGACACCAGGCACAGGCAGGGGACACACTGGGAACATGCCTGGAACATCTGGGGGGCACAGGATGGGGGGCTTTGCTCAGGGATCCATAGTAGAAGGACAGAGCAGGAACTGCAATAGGCTTAGGATCAGAGCGCTTAGGGTTCAGGTTACTGTCAGGAGGCTGAACTCCAAAGAAGAGGAAAAATCCTCCCTTGCAGTGAGGCTGCCCAGGCACTGCAAGGGTTAAATACTGGTTTAGCTCCAGGGGGGGGTGAAAAAATCAGTTTTACTTACCCAATCCTCTGCTCCTGTAAACTGCCTCCGGGCTGTAGGAAAGGTCCCCGCAGTCTCTTCTCACCCTCTTCCAGACCAGTGCAGAGACCATAGACCTCCGATGGACAGGAGACCACCAAGGGACAGTCCACTGCTGGAGCCTAGGGGAGAAGAAGAGAGTGTCTACTACCATCTGTTCCCAGTCTCCTGGACCCAAACAAGGGGCTCCCACACTATAAGGGCAACGATCCAGGATCTTTCCACTTCTGGTATTGTTCTGGTTTTTACCTAAGCTACAGAGCAGTCGTTCTCAACCTTTTTACACCAGAGGAACCCTGAAATAATGCTGAGGTTCTTTGGGAACCACTGCCTAAAAAAAATTGTATACTGATTGTGATACAGTTGGTAGAAAATGAGAGATGCTCACCTTAGGCTAATGGTCAGTGGAAAGAATTCCCTGTTACTCTAGTGGTCTTCAAGAAGAATGTACATTACACTGATGCAGGGGCAGACTGAACATTGGGGAACTCAGGCACTGCCCGAGGGCCTGGGGTCAGTAGGGGGCCTATGAGATGTCCCTGGTACCTTTCATAGGCTTTTTTGGGTGTGGTTTGAATGTGGGCGAGGACAGAGGGGCCCCATGATCCCCTATTGCCCGGGGGCCCCATGAGTTGTCAGTCTGCCCCTGCACTGGTGGTCCATGTGGTGCCTTCATACACTGGGGAACAGCGGTAAAAGTGCTCCTTACATTGGTGGACAGCCGGAAGAATGCTTCTTATTTGGGTGGTTAGTGGGGAGAATGCCCCTTACATTGATGGTCAGTGGGAGGAATGCTCCTTAAGCCAGTCATACATGGATCAATATTCACCTGGAAGTCTGTCAGAATACAAAAGCACACCCATGCATGCCTCATTTTCCGTTTCCTGGGCTTTAATCCACAAACCTCCTCGAAAGTGTGGATAGGGGCATTTAGGTTTATTTATTTATTTTTTTTTAATATTTGTTCAACCCACTGGTTGAACAAAAAATAAATGACTAAGCTATGGCCAGCTTCATATTGATGGTCAGTGAGAGTAATACTTCTTACATTGGTGGCCAATGGAAGGATTGCTCCTTACATTGGTGGCCGGAAGGGGGATGTTCTTTACATTGGTGGCCAGTAGGGAGAATACTTCTCACATTTCTGGCCAGTGGAAGGAATGCTCCCTACATTGATGGTTAGTGGGAAGAATATTCATTACATGTGGTCAGTGGAAGAATGCTCCTAACGTTGGTGGTCAGTGGGAGGAATGCTTCTTATACATTGTTGGTCAGTGGGAGGAATGCTTCTTATACATTGTTGGTCAGTGGAGAAAATGCTGCTTACACGGTGGTCAGTGGAAGAATGCTCCTAACGTTGGTGGTCAGTGGGAGGAATGCTCCTTACATTGTTGGTCAGTGCGAGGAATGCTCCTTTTTACATTGACGGTTATCAAAAATAATATTCCTTACATGTGGTCAGTGGAGAAATGCTTCTTATGTTGGTGGTCAGTGGGACTAACGCTCCTTTTGTTGTCAGTGAGAGGAATGCTCCTTTCATTGGTGGTCAGTGGAAGAATGCTCCTTATGTTGGTGGTCAGTGGGAGGAATGCTCCTTATGTTTGGTGGTCAGTGGGAGGAATACTCCTTACATTGTTGGTCAGTGGGAGGAATACTCCTTACAATGTTGGTCAGTGGGAGCAATGCTCCTTACATTGTTGGTCAGTGGGAGCAATGCTCCTTACATTGTTGGTCCGTGGGAGCAATGCTCCTTACATTGGTGGTGCCAGAACTGTGCAAGCAGTGCACCATCAGGTGGGATTTTAATCCATTGTTGCTCAAGGAACCCTGGTTAAGAGAGGCTTCCATGGACAATGCTCACTAAACTCAGGAAAGATCTTTTGTAAGT